ATTATAAGCACATGTAATATATAAACACTGGTGTCAGATGGAAATCGAGTTACACGATCACCATCACTAACCCCACATATTTTGTTTTGTACTATGACTTATATATTATCCCTTAACCTAGTTGTTGTATTGGTTAAACTGGTAAAACTAAGACTCAATGCTAAATATTGTTACATACATGCTTGCTTAACCTACTTAATATTTTTAATATTTATAATTTTTATATTTATGCATGATACATCATTACTTAGTAACTTCTTCAAGGCTGACTTAGGCTATTGAAAAATGTTTTATCTAAATGAATTAAATGCAATGGTGTCCGGCAGTTTACGATCTCCGGTCATTCACGGTGTGACAGGATCGCTGTTATTGGCTTCAGAATGCTTCTTAATAATTGAAAGTCCAATTAACCTTAGACTACACGCATTAAAAATATTCACGAGATTCCGCGCACACGGTGTTTTTTTGACCCTGTATTGAAATATTTCAATTAAAACTCGATAAATTGAAATAATAATTATTTTATTGATTTTATTTTTTAAATTAATAAATATTGTCTTCATCACTAACACCGATTTCGTCAAACTCAGTATTTCCATCATCAATATTTTCGATAAGTAATCAAATTTGATCGTCGTCCATTCTAATGAAAAAAATAATATAATGTAAAACAAATATATTGAAAATATAGTGCGACTAAAACAAAAAAATGCCTGGTAAAAATAAAATGTAATGCTACTTACATTTATAAATGTTTTATCTGTATGTGTTTTACTGTATTATACTTGTAGTTTGTTTGATTCATGTTCGTTATACATGATAAATGTTTTGTTTGTCTTCAAAAACCAAATATCGTTTCTCGTGTTTTCGTATTAACAAGCTTATTTTTTTAATTTTTTTTTAACATGGCACTGCTGGAATTACACACTGATCTCGTACGCATTATTATCGACACGATCGAATACATCCTACAATACGACGATCCTTACCACGAATCTATCTCGAATGCATACATAATAATAAAACGCCACAGCAACTTATTGTATATTCCATTATTATGAATAATGAGGGGCGATAAGATGGCCTACGGGAGGGGGGCACGTTTCGAGGGTATCTAAACATATATTTACTCGACAAATTTATATTTTCGCAAATTAATGTTAGTAGGTAGATAGTACCTTAATACACACTATTCCTAATAATATAACGAAACTCATAAATGGAGCTTTTATCATGGACGATCATCGTGGTCGTTTGAAAAACCCATACTAATATACTATTTCGTAGTGCAATTTATATGCACACACATATATATATATATAATATAGTAATCATTTAATATAAACAGTGGCCAGTTAGAACCAAAATATATACATAAAATATGAAACGAAATGAAGGATACAGCTATTTCGTAGGTGTACATGATTATTATATGTCTTATACCCCACAGTCACAATAGGTCATAACATTAAAGAATATATTATGGCTGAGAGAAGTTAACTATGTGCCAGCTATATATAAGGTTGTGTAAGCCCACAAGCCAAAAGGCAAAAGCATTAAGTTTATAGTTTTGGCCAAAAAGTACACTTTAGCTATAAATTAGCGATTATCTTATAACTTAAAATAGGTAGGTAGTTTATAGAATCGATTTAATATTTTAATTAGAACTAAATGTTTACTTTTATTTGGAATAATTACATTTTTTTTTTTTTAAATTACATTATATCCTATAACTTATTTAATAATCTGTTGATAAGTCTTTGTGTTCTCACTTCACATCTTTCCGAAGTAAGTATTCATAAGTATATAAATAAATAATTTACAAAATCAAATTTTATCTATAAGCATAAAGTGAATTAATGTTCTAAAAGTTATTAACATTAAATTTCTTGAATTGAACTTTTTTTTTTGAAAATCAAATGAAAAATGCAAAACCTCAAGATTAAAATTTTTCCATGTTCACAATAAACTAATAAAGAACAATAGTAGTCACAGTAAATAAAAAATATACTAATTATGTTGAAACAAATTATTTTTGCATTCAGTCACTATTTGATATTAAAAAATATGTATAAAATATATTACTTTATAGGAACAATTATGTAAACATTTCAATGTTACTAACTCTGATACCTAGCCTACAGCCTGCATAATATTACACGACTCAGTTATCGGGAAAACAGTTCAAAGAAAAAAGTACAAGGTAAAAATAACATGTATGTAAATAAGTGAAAGGAGAAACAAATACAAAATAAGAACTGTACAGTTGACAAATAGTTAACAATATTGTAATGCTGTAAGAAGTTCGTATTCGGACTATATAGGTACACCCGAGATTAACTATGCCAGTAGAAAAAATCTTGAAATTCCGATTTACAATAGCTACAAAATTTGTTTATTAAACTAATTGTTCACATTGTCAACGAATTTTATTTCTTTGGTAAAAAAAAAAAAGGTTCACATGAACAATTAGAATTACATCCAATATACAGATGTGTTCCATTCAATATTCATATTGAGGTTTCCCTCGGTGATCTAAAACTAATCCACAAAAAAAAAAAACATCGAACGAAGGAAAATCGTTAGAATATTTTAACATATATAATCTTTATATATAAATATATTAGATAAGAATCTAACTTGATTTTCTAGACGAAGGAAACTGGTTTTGAACCCTTATTATAATAATAATAATAATTAACTAATTACCAATTATTTTCATATATTCACCAATAACGATATCTGTTTCTTTTCTTTTTTTTTTTTATAATCGTTGTATTATTTGTATAGCCAAAAAATAGTCTTATGTTTTTAAATTAAATTATAAAAAAATTATTTCTTCCGGAGGAAGGTTGGGCAGCTAGTATAATATAATAATATTATAAAATAGAACCATACTGTATTTAAAATTTGTTTAGTTATTATTAAACCTCAATAGTAAATTGAATACATAATGCCATCTAGTGGAATGAAACTTTGTGCAAAGTAATAATAAAAAAACCATTTCACACACAATACGATGTTTGCACACAGCAATAGTTGGACGTTTAAGAATGTCCGCATGAAATATTTTCCTCTCCCTAAAATAGACTCAGAGTCCTCCAATACACTATAATTATCAAATTAAATATTCTAGTCGGAGGTGTTCAAATTCAAAATTATATAAATGTGTAACTACAAAATAATTAATACATTTTCTAGATATTCGGGATTTTGACGAAAAACGACTCAAACATTTTTTTTTTTTTACTTTAAACGATTATAAGAAAAATTATGACCATGCATTTTCGATATTTTTTACTATGGTATAAACAATATAAATACATCTTATCATGTATCAATTGAAAAAAAATACTTATAAAAAGTTGACTAATTCAACTGTCTATAAATATCACAAAACGTGCAAAAGTGTATTGAATTTATTGATTGTGTTATATAGAGAAAATGCTAATATTACTGTCTTTGCAAAATTATGATAGTATATCTCTATTTTGTTCCACAATTGTTTTAAAAAGTATTGGGAATTTTATTTTTGATCCTACTATAGTACCGCAACTAGATTCATTTTTCTGTTAGATACCACCCACCCAATATTCATATTCAAAGCTTTTTTTTTACCATAATAATATTATTTTCCACCACAAAAAATACACATCATTTTAAGACCAATGCATTCTTTGCTCTGCTCAGAATCTAAAAATTATAAAAGCGTCGAATTCTTGCTCGTTGTAGATTTCATTTGATTCTTTCGAGTTAGAGAACGACTCTTGAAAATTAAAATTCCAAACGGAGACGGGAATATATATTGATTTTAGAAAGTTTTTCGGTTTTGTATGTACATTACACACTATTAACGCTAGAGTGTTGCTATGAAAGTTTTGTGTAGTAGCAACTTTTGAAATCAGTAGTTTAATCTTATAGCTGATACTTCGAACAGGCTTATTTTGGTTGCTCAAAAAGGGAAGACTAACGGAATATTAAAAGAAAAAATTTCTATGGGCATTAAGAATATAAGCACAAAATATTTTATGATCGCATAGGCTTGAATAAAAAAACAATTTTACAGACGATTTGTTTTAAAATAATTAACACCAGATAAATTAATATCATCGTATATTGTTCAGCCCAAATCTTACACGAATGCAGAATGACGCTTGACGTATTAAATATACCTACTCAATAAAGAAAAAAATTACTCATAATGATAATATTATGTGACTTTATTTACTATTTGTGTACCAAAATATATGAGTCCAAATAATGACATTTTTGTTCACTTTTAGATTCTGAGCGGAAGCGAATACATACGTATTATAATGTTGTGTGTTTAGTTTTTAATTAATTTTTTTTTGCCTGTAGACACTTTTTATAGAAGACAAAATTTAGGTTTTCTATTTCTATGAAGGTTCTTGACAGAGAATTGGATCTGTACTCTAAGAAGTTAAAAGTAAGAATGGCTGAGTATTTTTCATAATAGTCAGGAAAAATAAAATAAACTACCCTTAAACAAAATTAATTTTGTTTGTTGCTATACTTAATTCAAAAACGAAAAACAATAAATACTTAAAATATTTAACAAATATTTGGATAACAATTATTTAAATTAATGTTTTCTAGCTATTATTCAATTTTAAAAATATGTTGGCTCTTTTTAAACATTTAAAAAATAATTATTTAAAAATTTTGACTTGCAAAGATATTACAATTTTAAACTTTAAAGCAAAATAATGTACTTTTTTACAATATATATATATATATATATAAGATATATTCTATAGAATATAGATGCATTTCTACATGCTACAACAACATATTTAAATATATTAAATAACCTATTAAAAATCACAGACGTATTATTTTTTTACATTTTTTATTTATAAACATAAACTCGATTTGTCTTTTTTTTCATTACAATATAGTTATTTATACTCATTGGCCATTGTTATCTATTCATAATATAATTTTTTCATGGTCTATTCATTCGTTTAATACTTTTATCTTTACGATCGATAGAGTTTTGAAAATACTTGGTCCTTGGATGGAATAATATGATTGAGATCCAGCTTTACGAATTCCCAACATTTAAGTTTTTCAGTTTCTGCCATGAACCAATGAGGAACACACAAGCATTTTGTTTCTTTAATATCGGTAGTTATAAATTCTTTATCCGCCATATTTTCACCTTTTAATAAAAAGTAATTAAATATCAATAATTCAATACGTGTTGAAATGTATAGATCCAATGATTAAAAATAATACTATAATTATTACGAAATATAATAGGTAGTGATGTGAAGTAACACATATATGACCTCTCTTAAATCCAAAACTTTGCAATTACAATTAATCATTTATAATATCTTAATGAACATTCAGAAACATGCGAACAATAATATAAACGTATTTGACGCATTTATAAATATTATATTTATCTAAACAAGTCATCTAGTGACGAGTAACCTAATTTTATTTCTAGACCGGTTATTTTAAGAATATTTATTTTTTTAATAACAACAAAATAAGCAACGTTTCAAACGACTCAAACGTTTATTACTAAATTCATAGGACATATCAATTTTTAGAAAATATTGCGGTGTATTTGAAGTATATAAAAATAGTTTTGATATATCTTAATAATTATAGTCAATATTGTAGATTCTAGTCGTTTGAATAAAAAAAACTAATCATTATTATTGTACTCGGATATTTTACTGATATAAAAGTGAAGACAAGTTGTACTCATATTTTAATATTACTGTGGGAGAGTTATTAAATGATTCTATAAATGGGTGTTTATGGGTGACCAGACTTCATAAAATGTTGAAAAAAAACATCGAGATCGAACCAACATAACTTGGCCTGGATATATTTTGTTTAATTGTTGTGTTCTCTAAATCAGTAAATATTGGTGAACTAAATGATTCAATATTAATTATATTTTTTTTTTTTTTTTTAATATGAAAATATACAACTATACAATTAAGCACAACAAGTAATAGTGATGAAGAGGATTACATAACATGAAATGGCACGATGTAGGAGGGCTCCCAATGGAGCTACCTACTTGGGTATTTTATTAATTAATGGAGGAGGTCTCTAACTCATTTACGTTTGAGCCTTCGAGGGGGATTGTCAGGGATGTGTAGTGAAGCAAGAAAACTAATGTTGGGGCAGAGTAGGAGAGAGAGGGGTGAATTGTTTGAGTAAGAGTTTGTCATTTAACTAGTAGAGTATCGATGAGTTTAGTGAGTAGTGCAATAAGGGGGCTTATTAGGGATTGGAATTGGACTAGGAAATTTGTTAATTGGGTTGTAACGGAATCGGTATTTGGATTTATACAGGGATCGGTGAGATTTTGATTTTTTTTGGGGTGGGAGTGGGTATTGGGGAGGTTTTGATTTATGGTAGACTGGGAGGTGCTCCATTGGGGTTGACAAAGTGGGGGAAAGTTATTTTCCTGAATGATGTTGGTTTTGATTGAAGTTGAGGAGGCGTCTTGGGTTTCGGTTGGCCTGTTGGTTTTGATGTTAATTATATTATAACTATATTATATTATTAATATTTTTAATATTGTTACCAATGTTAAAACACGAGTCTGATAAAAATGTACAAGTATCAACATGTATGTCAGTATATTTTGTTTTATTCAATTTTTCCGAATTCTTTTTTAATTTGAACCTTACATTACCATAACGGTTAACAATCCTTTTAATTTTCAAACATTGTATTAAAGATATTTCTCCTTCTAATACGAAGTGAGCACAATCAATATCTCCTAGTCCTTTTCCTATGACAAAAATATAATATTAGGTAGGTAACTACTGTCCATTTTTTGTATTAAATTAAATTATTGTATACAATTTAATATTTAAAAATTAAGTTGTTACTTTATTTACCGAGAACATAATCATTTTCTTTAAATGTTTTAATAAATGAAATAGTGCTGCATTTATTTAATTCCATTAAACTTAGATGTTTAAAGTATGACGAATTTTTAATAGCTATAGCATTTGCATTCCACTGAAGTTGCAAATTATCTTTGATAATGTCCGTGAAATCATTTTTTGATATGCTAATCAATTCCACTGTACCTTTGTATGTATGAATATATTTTGAATTATCTTAACTTATAAATTATGCTTCAGGTGTAACATAAATAATGGTAAACCCTGGTGTAAAATGTGGAATAGTACTTGAATATGGGTTAGTTTTAAGTTTTAACAAACAATTGATGATCAATTTATATAGTAGAACGTGTCCAACGAAAATGTCATTTTTTGCAAAGTTTTAATTAAATATCTCCTATCTACCTCACGATTACATAGTCTAGTTTTTCTAAAACTCGATTAGTATATCTTCGATATGCTCTCAACATTTCATTCCTTTAAAAACCCATCTCTGTTACCATTGATTCACACTCTTTTCTTTTTCCCATTAATTTAAAAGAACCAATCAGGAATACTAGTAATAATATCCCATTTGTTATACATCTAAATTGAGCTAATTTTTTAATATGTAAGTATGTAACCATATTGTACTTGATTTAACCCTAACTGGCTTCAATATTTTATTTGATATTTAATATCTTACTATGTTATGTTTTGTTTTTATTTTTTATAAGTTTGCTTGATACAAACCACTGTATGATGGTACATTATTAATCATTAGGTCCTCTATCCCCCTGGTAAATAAATAAATAGGTATGGGGAAATTGGTAAGTTCTATTATACAGACCAAATAATCCATTTAAAGTTTAAACATAAACTTAAATAGTTAATCTCCCCAAATATTAAATAAGCATGCATTGAAATATTATAAGAAAGATTAAATTCATAAAAAAACAAAGAATTTGCATTGTTATTTGTTATATATAATTTAATTTATCTCAAGTTAATTCATAATTCAGTATCTAAAATATATTTGTGTATACTAGTAGGTAAGCATCATATTGAGTGGTATTAATAGTCCATTCAATTTACAAGGATATAAAATTTGTTTTAAAAATAAATTATTTATGCCCTACCTATTCAAAAATAATAATTATAATACAAGTTGTAGAGTTACATTTACAACCCAACAAACTTTGCAGTTTATTGTTATATATGCAAACTAAATATATTATGTGACATAAATATATTTATACCAATATTAAAACTATATTGATGCAACATATTTCTAGAGGTAATTTTTTAGGTACAGAGTTACATAGTAAACCTTGAGGAATGTTCAGAATCAATATAATTGTCAAGTGTCTAATTAAAAAAAAATATTTACTTAATGATTGTACAGAATTTGTTCTACATGTGTTAAACATAACGGCACTCTCGCCAAACGATTTTTTTTCCTTCAATTTGCAAAGTTCAGTGTTATCCATAAGCTTAGTAACAGAATTTAGTACATCTTCAGTAATTACCACATGTCCTTTGACAATTAAATACATATTTGTCGATAAATGTCCCTGTTTCAGTATCCATCTACCAGGGCCATAACATTTATAAGTCGCCCTCCTGATTAGAGCCATCTTAATTTCCTAAAAATAAATTATTATTGTACTTAAATATTATTATACATTTTAAGATTAATCAACAATTTCATATTGACGTGATTATGACATTGATCAGATATTAGATAATGATATAGAACTCAAGTTATTTATTGCACTTTATTAGGTACCCATGCTTCGTTAGTAAATATAGAACAGATTTTTGATGAATACATTTGTTGAAAGAGATTTTTAAAGCTATCAAATTTGTTAATAAATTTTCAATGAAAATAAAGAAGGTACCTATAATTAAAAATAAATTTCAAAAAAATATTAATTCAGTTAATTAGGTTAAATTGTCATGTTTACTTTGGTACCAAACTTTTTTTTTCAACAAGTTGGTTATGTACTGGAAAGCGTATTTTTTTGATAATATTTTTGTTAGTGTGACGGATATTTATACTGATATAATATGTAATGATGGTAGGTATTACTGATAATATAACGATGATTTATGATCAATAGAATGTCATACACATTTATTGGTCTAATTACTAAATGATAAATATTCCAATAATCAATAAACCATGACTTAATAAATATTGACTACTCCTATTAACAATGAGCTGTAAAGAATACTTTTTAAATACCTAAGGTTTTTAAGGAGGTTTCTAATGAACTCAATATAAACACAAAGTAGGTTTATAATCTTTTTTTGACACCGTAAAAACTTAAAAGTACACATTCAACAGACAGGGAGACAGACACATTGTACATAAACACCCAAGTCTTAAATTTAAAAAATAAAAACGTTGCATTCTTGCAGCTAGTGATTGGTGGGACAATCAATATTATTCCCATAAACCCATAAACCATTAAGACAGTTATTGTAACTGATATTATCAACATTTATCGAATTGTACAAAAAGAAATATTGTCATTGAATATCTATTTTTAAAAACCTGGTTTTACAAACCTTTGGGATTCGACTAGACAGAAATAGAGAATACTAAATAAAACAACTATTCAATTATTTTAGTTGGCAATAATATTTTCCAACCAAACATTTCGAATAAAAATAAAATGTTTGAAAAAAACCAAGGTATTCAAAGAAAATAAATATTTAATACAAAAAAAAAATGTTGAAAATAGTATTGAAAATATCCCATGCTGAAAGTATTTAAAATATTGTTCAATACTTAAAAAGTATTTGAATATTTTTACTCAAATACTTCACAGCATTGAAAATTAATCACATAACAATGAAAATTAAAAAATTAATGTAAGGAATTGACCACTGAAAAGATAGTTTATGTATTTTAATATGTATTATAATATGTTAAATCTACAAACTAATAAACTATGGTCGTGCACTGACTGACACTCGTAGAACAACTGCTCACTATGTGGATAAAAACGATTGATGCAATTTAATTGTATAATACATTTTTTTAATCATTTTGAATTATCTTTCTAATAGAACGAGGCTATTTACACACTAGTATTTTTGCCTTCCGAGTTCAGTTGTTAAAGATGGATCAATTCTAATTATTATTACCAAACTACCAAAAATGCCTAAAAATGTATATTCAATTTTTAATATCTAAGACATACGTCATAGTTAGTTGTATAACAATAACAGATACGTGTAATGGGGTTATCGAGTATAGATATATAGTATAGGTTTATATACACTCAGATGTGCGATGAAGTTGTCTCACATCAAAACCACAATTTACTTGAGAAATATGTTGTTATTTTGCAAATTCGTTTTCAGAATCATAGAAATATTCAATCAGACACTATCTTAGTGATTTACTTATATTTAACAACCGTTAATTATCCCTCACCAAAGTCACATTCAAGTTCGTCATGGTTATTTACTTATATTTAACAACTTCAAAATGATACCAACATTTAACAAATAATTTGCTAGCTAGTTTTTGTATTTGAAAGTTCTAATTTTAGCTTTCTCGTGAATAGACGATTTCATGCAGCCACAATAGTTGGTATGTTGTCTGCTAAGAACTTTTGACATTATTTTGAAAATAATCAAGTTAATTAATTTAGAAACTTACAATTGGACACAGATGAAAAAATTTAAATCCAATTGCGAACATCCATTCGATTGTTTCTAATTCAAACACTGTTCTCTCTTCAGGTGGTTTGAACAAAATTAACTTTTGCTAAAAAAATTTAAATAGATTATCACTGTATTATATTACGATAAGTGCCTATTAAAAAGCGTTACATACTCACAAAAACAGATATTTCAGATAATTCATAAGCTGAAATAAGATGTTTCATACATATCGAGTCAAACAAATTTACAGGAGCAAGCACATAATCATCGTGTTGCAACCAAGGCAGATTAGCAATCACCGTATACACAACAGCTCTAAATCTTGATATCGGTTGTAAACCCTAACATTTTAGAATTTTAAATTTTTAGTATAATGCTATAACCTAACCTAACCTGAATTTATTCTTCACTTTATACGTTACATAGACAATATATTATATTGGAACATTTTTACCTCATTGTTTTGTATTTCTTTATATGTAAAATCGCCAACCAAACGTAAACATTTATAATAGCAGGTCCATAATATACGGCTGTATAGGTTTAAGTTAAGTGCCTCGTAATCATATATTATAATGATGTGCATTAAAATTAAAACTCATTATAACTTAATTATAATAATGGCTATTTCACTATTCCTACTCTTATTGCATCTCGTCCTGATGTTGCAGATACTTATTTAATGTGTTCCCTTCTTAGCGGCGCAGTTAACTCTTCTGACCTCCTCCGCTTAATCTTATTTTGTGACCTCCTGCTTACCATATAAGGAACCACTGACTTTTTAAGTTTCATTGTAGCACAGTCGTCTCACTATAAATAAAATGCTCCTCCAGCTTAACAATTTATTTCAGCTATGTACCTATTCTGTTTTATGATTTTGAGATTCAATACTTTTATTTTCCTCTTATACCCTGCAGTTTCACTGATTCCTAATACTATTTTTTACAATTCGTACACCTCATCGAATGCCGTTTGCTGTTAAAAAAAAAATAATAATAATAAAGTAGGTACTTGCCTTTTTTTTAAAAACATCATGATGTGATAAACTCGTAAGACTCATATTAGTACTTACTTCTACAATATAATTCAATTTTATACTATGTAAATAAAATAAAATATTGATACTAACAAGCAATGATAACTTATAGTAGCCATGCAACTACAAAGTGAACATTCTATTTAATTAAATTAGTCAAAATATTATTGAGTCATGATAATAATTAAGAAACCGAAAACGTTGCTCTGCTGTATAGCGTATACACAGATAGGGTTATTTATATTATTTTATTATCACCAATTAAAACGTTATTAACTGTCTTTAAAGTCTTAAGTAATTATGTAATCTATATACCTTAATCATATGTAGAAATGTAAAACAATTCAATTTACAAATATTTAACACAATATTAAATGATAATATATTACAAAATCATTTTTTTTAATTTCTGCATAACAAAATAATTTGCTTGTGCAAGTGCAGCAATGGCAAACCTGTAAATCTGTTTTGAACTATTTCCGATCTTAATCAGATTCACAATCTATAAATAATGCTACATTTTGCATTACAAATAGTATTTGTGCAACAAGAAAATTATACCTTAGTCCACCATGCACAATAGTCATATTTATATAGTTCGTACAGTGTTTTATTTTCTATTTTATTTTAAACCATGGAGAACCCGAGTGCAAATTTATTCAATTACACTTATTATATCGATTAATAACCGATATTGTTAATACAACGATGGCACAGCCGCGTCACCATGTTTGGTACATACAGTAATAAACATAAAGGTATAACTATATATAAAATAATTGCTATTGGTAGTTAGTACTAACCATGGTATCGCTTAGCAATTAATTACACATTTAGACTATTATATGAGTAGTTACTAACCACTGACTGCAATTTTAAAATTGATTTATGAATAATTTCTAACAAAAATACGATTGATGAGCCCTCTTCTTGGACATCAAAAATCTTTTTGCTCTCATTGTCGTATGAGCAACATAAAATATATTTCGTGTATATTAAATATATTAATTTTATACATGATATTTACACGAGTCATCATTTTATAAGTCCATCCAATATTGCAATAATTGATTGTTTTCATGTAGGTAATCATTTAACTGTAATTTATTTCTTTCTTTATACAATTTCAATATTTATGTCACTAGAAAACATATATAATTGTAAAATTTCAACACATTCATTAACATGTTCAAAATCTAAAAGAATTCACCAGTTAACCTTCAAAAGTATAAAACCAGCACAACTACAGTATAATACAAATCGATATAAGCAACCTCGTTAATATAGTATATTATTTATAATACCGTAAGACTTCCATATTATATAAATACAAAAAAGAACCTATTTAAAATGATAAATCGCTTTAAATGTCAGCTTTAACAACTCGTCCATTAAACATAAGTGAAAAAACCGCGTGGTCAGGTCTATCGAATACCACGAATGCGACGAAACATAGGTAAGTATTTTTAAACTTAGCGTCAACTCACAACTGAGCTACGAAATACTACTAGTCAAGTGATACTAAACGGTTTGACTTGGAAAGCTTAAATATATACAAAGAGATTTTAATATTGATCTGGTTAATATCAAAAGTAGGTAATTGATGAAATGGCAAAAACTTCAAAACGAAGAATTCATATTTTAGCCTTTAGGTGGTTGTACTGTTTTTTTTTTGTTTTTTATAATATGACATTTATTTATTTTTATTTTTTACTGTCATGGCTTATAGTTATTAAAAATAGGAATTATTGATTTCTTGCTACTCATTTTATTACTTATGTGATTGAAAACAAATATCAAGGGAGTAAGTTTAATGTGGTCGATGGTTGTGTTTTTGATTCGCATTATTTGAAATAAAATTTTTTCTGTGCATTAGTTGTAACCTGTAACGAGATAACTGTCTACTCGCACAGATGTATTATAATATTTTATTTATTTAAACGAGCAAGGCAATTTGTAAAGAGATTCAAAAGTACAAACAAGTCAAAAATAGATATCTATAACCAATAAAATATTCGGCATGTTTTTATATATTCAAATTTAAAACTATATTAAACGTATTTTTTTTCCATTTCAGTTCTAAATGAACATTTTAGTAAATATTATAGTAATAAACAATTGTATATTAATTAGACTAGAGATTTTCCCCGTGGACCTCGGTGCACTAAATTCAGAATATACGCCTTGGCGCCATTGAAAGATAATCTCTTATAATAAAATAGTGTGATACGAATTATTATTATACGATGTTAAAAAATTAATTATATAATATGAGTAGGTACTTGTAGACTATAACAAATACTATGAAATACAACCGGTGAAGACGCTTTGCTGTATAGTACTATAGTCAGCTCCATTGTTGGGTTTTGCGAAGCAATAACAAAACAGACCATGGACACATTTAACTAAGATTTATCTTTATAAATTCAAATTGATTTTTTTTTTTTTGACAATTAGTACTTACATATATATTACATAGATGTTTAACAATTATATTTTCTGAAAATCATTAAATATTCTTAACTTGGACACTTCGCTCCATGTATGCTTAAGAGTTGTAGTGCTAGATTAAAATCAGATTCTTGATATCCCTTAACCATTGTTAAACTCAGTAATGAAAATAATGGATGCTGTTCAAAAACGATAACCTCTAAGGCTATATCTGATCTTTGATAGATTAATCTAAATAGGTAAGAAAATGTTTCAGACCTGATTTCAGGTCAGTCCGGCTCCAATGTCCAGTCGGGCTCTCCGGTCATTTCAGCTCTCATGTTTCACTAGGACTCTCAGGTCAGTAAATCTCTCATGTTTCAGTCCGAATCTCAGGTCACTTCAGCTCTCATGTTTCACTAGGACTCTCAGGTCAGTAAAGCTCTCATATTTCAGTCCGATCCTCAGGTCAGTAAAGCTCTGATTTTTCAGCCCTGCTTTCAGATCAGTTCTGTTCTCAGGTCAGTCCGGCTCTCAAGTTTCAGTCTTGCTTAGAGGTCAGTCCTGCCTCAGGTCAGTCGGGCTTCAATGTCCGGTCTGGCTCCCAAGTCAGTTCAGCTCTTATGTTTCAGTCCGACTCTCAGGTCAGTTAAGCTATCGTATTTCAGTCCTGCTTTCAGATCAGTCCAGCCCCAGGTTAGTCCAGCTCCAATGTCCAATCTGGATCTCAGGTCAGATCTCTTATGTTTAAGTCCAGCTCTCAGGTCAGTAATCGCCAATGTCCAGTCTGACACTCGGGTTAGTACGGCTCACATGTTTCAGTCCAGCTCAAAGGTCAGTCCAGCTCTCATGTTTCAGTTCTACTTTCAGGTCAGTTCGGCTCTCATGTTTCAGTCCCGCTTTCAGGTCAGTCCTGCCTCAGGTCAGTACATCTCTCGTGTTTCAGTCCTACTTTCAGTTCAGTCCGGCTCTCATGTGCCAGTCCCGCTTTCAGGTCAGTCCAGCCCCAGGTTAGTCCAGCTCAAATGTTCAGTCTGGCTCAGCTCAGTTCAGCTCTCAGGTCAGTCCGGCTCCAATGTCCACTCTGGATCTCAGGTCAGATCTCTCATGTTTAAGTCCAGCTCTCAGGTCAGTAAAGCTCCAATGTCCAGTCTGACACTCTGGTCAGTACGGCTCACATGTTTCAGTCCAGCTCAAAGGTCAGTCCAGCTCTCATGTTTCAGTCCTACTTTCAGGTCAGTTCGGCTCTCATATTTCAGTTCCGCTTTCAGGTCAGGTCCGTTCTCAGGTCGGTTCAGCTCTCATGTTTCAATCTTACTTTTAGGTCAGTCCGGCTCTCGTGTGCCAGTCCCGTCTTCAGGTCAGTCAATTTTTATTTTTCAGTCCTGCTTTCAGGTCAGTCCACCTCCAATGTTCAGTCTGGTTCTCAGGACAGTCCGACTCTCATGTTTCGATCCAGCTCAAAGGTCAGTCCGACTCTCATGTTGCAGTCCACCATTCAGTTCAATCCAGCTCTTATGTTTCAGTCCTGCTTTCAGGTCAGTCCTACCTCAGGTCAGTTCGGCTCCAATGTCCAGTCTGGCTCTCGGGTCGGCCCGGCTTTCATGTTTCAATCCAACTCTCAATATGCTTTTTATACTTGGAGACAATATTATAAACTATAGTGCACTTGCATTGACCAAGACATTTTTTTATAAAACTATAAATTATACAGATTGTTATGCATAAAGAATTTTAATTATAAAAATAATAACATGATAATTAGTCCCTTCATCAAGCCCCTTGATGTACAATATGACATTCAGTGTTGAGACTTATCTAAATACATTTATCTTGATAAACTCGTCTCTATACAAAAAAATGAAGTACCGATTTTTATTGTCAAATTATTTTTTTGATAATTAACATTTTAAATTTCAACTGACAAGTGATCTCTGTAAAAAAATTGACTGTTCATAATAATATTATTTATTAGGTATTATTTATTATTGATATTATGGTGCTCAAATATGCCTACATTTCATTGTTATGTTTTTTTGTTGACTCGTTAACAGTAAATTAGGTAATGGAAAAATGATTATAAGTTACTGCGTATTTTTAGGAAGGGTAAGCTACTTATTCAGAGCTGTATACCGCCTATTTAAATGTGGTTTCTTAGTTCCGACGCGTATTGAACCAATGTAAATGCACTGATATAAATAATTCATATCACCTGTGTATAAATTATATTATCATTATGACATGATCATAATTCATAACATAGAATGAAATGTTTTTTTATTTATTTAATAATAATTATTAAATAAATAAAAAAACATTGTTATTCTAATAAATTGTGTTATATAATATTTCCTCATGTAATGTACATAATATAAATTATATTAAATGTATTTTACCTAATAACAATAAAAAAATGTTGAAGGAACGATGTGATTCACTGAAGACGGTTTTTTGAATTTTTCACCTTCAGTATACAGTAGTGATTCCACATATTTCACATTATTTTAAACCACATCATTTTAAATTTAATATTAGAAAGCACTCAATCAATTAAAGATACATTGTTAACTAACTTTCATTACAATATCACAGTGTAGTCTTATACTTTTATCTCAATTATTCTTACTGTAGACTGTACCATTCTAGATTTCCACATAACATTTTTTTTTTCTATTTTGATTATATTTTATTTTTTTCATTTTTACCAGAGACCTATTTTTGCATCGGAAAAACTAGTAGTGTGCTAATTGGGACCTGAACCGTTGGATCGACACAATATTATATTATGATAAAATAACATAGACCTATAGGCTATAACAACTTTGAAAAACTTTCTTCCGTGACGAATAGAAATATTTTGGACGATTGTGAATATTTTATTGTGTAACTACGTCTTACAATCGATTTTCTGCTGTTTGTTAACAACAACGCCATCTATATGATCCGATAATGAAGAATGCTGAAGGGTGGATAAAAGAGGTACAAATCACGACTTTTTGTTGTAATATTAGTTTTACGGAAAGATGTCGTTGTTAGTATTAAAATATAATGACAAAATAATATTAATTATAGAAAATTAATGAAAGATATTAAGGTACATATCATATGAATAAATAAGTAGGTTTAACAATCTAAGTGTAATTTTCATAAAACCTTGAATTCCCCTCGTACACTCATCATTTCAAAAGTATTTATACACTATGCTGAATACGTCTGAAAAACAATTGATACACTCACCTAAACCACTTTTTTCTTATCAACAATGACTCTCATCTAAAAACCTGCTTGAACATATTACAATCAAACTTCAGAGTTTTGAAGAATGATCAAGGTATGAATCGAATCGTAGAACTCTAGACATTCCGAAAACCGTTAAAACTTAAATAAATGCCTTCGATGAAGATCACATTTTTAAAATAATTTATTTCAATATCTATATCCAAATGAAACTCACTAAATAAACTTTAAAGTTGTAAACAATAATTATAGTCACTGCCACTCTTAAATTGTGAATAATCAATATTTATTTATTTATTTTCCTAATATTAGTATTTACCTACTCATGAATCACGTTGATTAAATTGTATACATTAAACACTGTATGTTAATATTCTTATCAGTTAAAGCCTTAAAACTTAAAAATAGAAAAATATTTTTAAAAAATTGACACCGTCGACCGGCTTTGTACATGTAGGTCAAGTGTAAGTCCAACAGTCAAAAATATTTTAACATGCACTTGAATTATGAAAAAAGTGCGTGTTGCGATTGAGTTTGGATAAAGTGAAACTTCTTTACAGAGGGTACGAAAAAAATCCATCATCGACGACCAACACAATACACACGTTCCTGTGGGTTGTTGTATGTAGAAAAAAAATGTTTAATTAATATTTTTTTAAAAAATGCAAAAAATATCAATTGACTTCTTTTGATTCTAGTCATGACAAATTTAAGTCTAATGTCATTCTGATATTAAGATGTGTTATTGATGTTTAGAATATTTAAATTATTATTCTTGATTTAAATTGTTTTTTATTATTCTGTTAAACTTAATTATATACTTACATATTAAATAATACTTGTATAAAGTTAATTTTTATTGTGTCGTCAAATTATTGAAGTCATGTTTATCCGTTCTTGTATTCATTTTCAATTGTGTGTCATATAATATCTAAAGGGCTCTTGCCCGTTAAAATTTCCATTACAATTATGTCTATAATATTACTTTACCATCGTAGCAACCTCATTGATACATTTTCTTTAATCATAATTTATTTCAAAAGCATAATCTATGGACTATGATTCAATGTTTTTCAGTGTAACTGGAAAATATCAGACAGGGCTACGTATTTTTTTATAACTTGAATTTAGCTTTGAAATATCTGTAACCCAAAAGCTATGTAAAATAAAAAGTCAGTACAGTTACAATATTAATATTATATTAACAAGAACTCTGCGATAGGTACAAAGTACCTATACCTATTACCTACCTAATATTTTTTTATGATTAGCCAAGTACTTTCTTTAACGAGTGGCTCGGATAAATTAACCTATAGTAACAGATATAAAAGTGTCAAACATTTAACGCCAGTCGTAAAACAATTAAAGAATTCATCGTACACACAAATAAAATTTATAATTACAATTTGAATGCCATATATAAATTTGAAAAAAAAAAAAACATTAAAAGTAATTTTATAATTATTATGACTTATATGACCTTTAATAATAAATATATTCTTCAAGGTTTCATACTTAAATCAAACAAGATTACATTTTAAAAAATATTTTCAGAAATACCGTTTCTATATATCATATATTCATGTGTTTAATGTCAATTAAATATATTATTGTTTGTTGGACTATTTATTTATAACTTCCAGTTCTTAACTTGAGACTTGATTTTGTTTAACACAAACTCAAGTGACTGTTGTTCCAAAAAATATATATACCTGTAGGAATCATAATCATCATAATATATTATAGGTAGGTGTAAAAAATGAAAGTAACCCTATAAGTAAAGGAAAACGTTTTTTATTTCGTTATTTCAATAATACGATATTATAATAAATATTGTTAAACACAAAATAATACTAATGGGAACTATACAGAGCAAATACCTACTCTACAGTTATTATGAAACCATATAATAATTTATATTATTGAATTTTGAACGTCTTCAAAACTCAAAATGACAAAAAATAAAAATAAACGACTATAGTAAATTATTCAAATGCAAACACTAAAATGAACTAATAAATATTTATTGTGATACGTTGTCGTCGAAAATGGGCATTCACGAATACAACACTGTCATCATTTATATTATTACATAATATGTAGTGGGCGATACGAAGCAAATAAAAAAAATAAAATGTTTTATTGACAATAATAAAGTTCAAATGCCTTAGTTAAGTATATTAAAAAAATAAACGTCAAACAAATCGTTTCATAATATTTTTCAGTGATATTCGCCTATCGTATAAATGACTACAATCTTCAATATCTGGCAATTTTTCCGAAATTAGGGGTAAATGTTTCTATACAAGATAAAATCCACATGGTTTTAATTTTATATATATTTACACATTAATAAATATTTGTGCAATTTTTTTTTTGGGGGAGGGGGGATGGGTTAGTCAATCCCAATCACTCTCCTCCATACGCATCTATGAGCACGACGTATTATTGAATTATAATAATTGTTTTAATGACAAATACATCCAATAAAGACGTATTGTTTTGTTCGTGCATCATTGAGTCTTATATACAGACAGACATCGTTTCTGCCAGTAAAAAAAGCCATTATTTTCCTCCGCCCATCGTTTAGCCAAAACGTTCGATTTTCGTTTCCACCCAAAATCAATATACTTAATATTGTTTTTAGAACTTTGTAGAATATAATGATATAATGTATTTAAAATTATTCGACTCGAGAATAATCTCATTCTGTACCTACGTCATATGTATTTAGGATTTATGGGATTTGGATAATGTTACCATTATATTGTGAGTAATGATAATATTTTGAGTTCCTGTATATAGATGTATCATTATTATAATTTTTTTTTAAAACTCATTTGTACTTTTTTGTGTCGGTCTCGCTCAAATCTAAAGTGAAAACCAACGTATTGTATATTATTGTGGTTTACGTATACTAAATTATACCTAATATTATATAAGTTGTGATTTAAAAAAAAAACAGAAATCGGATGTACCATGTACGACATTCCCCTCGCAACCGTTCTTGTCTCTCGTTCAATAGTCATTGCCGGTACGTATATTATAATACTCAATCGACTGCGCAGTCATATCGAATTCAAAGTAATTGTGACTGGACTACTTGGATTTTTCGGGAATTTGGTGAGATTCAGTTTAACGTCTGCAATATTCTCGAATTTTGGTCGCTTTGAATTTAACGACGATAAAAATCGAGTACCGAAATGAACGTCACGAAATCACCAGTGTTATACAAGGGACGGAATACAAACATGACTTGCGAAATATGCAGAAAACATGTTCGTAACAAAACTTAATTAAATTCGAAAAACCACACGATGCGCGGTGATGAGTCGACGGTAATGATGTTCGTAAGTTGTTATATTATTGTATTAATGATATAATATTATGGCGGACCCGTACATAATTGTGTTAGTAACGCGTTAAACGGCGATATGGCATTGTTATTAACGACCGCGGTGATGGTTTCAGTGGATTGCAATATATTTTATGGTATAAGTACACGTTCTACTGGCATAGACACATATATTTATATAATACATATACATATATATATATATGGTGACACGAAAACATTGGAAGGTATACCGAAACCGTGTGTGTCGCCGATCGGTCTACAACCAAATACCCGTCAGCGGTTGTCTACTAGAGTTACACCTTACCCACACGCCTTGTCAACACACCTGTTGCAGTGTCGCGCGTCGATGACAACGGCGTCGTAAGCGGACGACCATCGTTTATATAATATAAACACAACATTAATATCGTATCTCCGTTCATTATATTTCGTATCTAAATCTCGCGATAAAAACATCACGAAATGCAACAAGACGACGGTAAGAACTATAATGCCACGGCCACTGACGATCTTCAGACGACCGGTCAAGATCACAAACTGCAACCGTACGACGAAGAGGTGGACAAACTGATCGAGTGGTTGAGGGACATGCCTCATTTGCCAAACATTACCGGTGAGCACGACGACCATGAGCGAAAATTTTGTGAAATCTCTGAAGGGGAGACTTATAATTACGCAAAACTCATTACACCTGAGAGTGTACCACTATAGCTTACCTCGCAATTATTGATTCCAACAAGACAACTTACTAACTGAACCAGTGGTTCTCAAACATTTTTCTTTACGTATCCCTATGTATATTATTAATCTATCGGTACCACTTATGTCTGTTTCAATGTGTTCAAACACAAATATATTTAATATTCATTTATTTACTATCCTTTCTATCACTTGGTGGCATTTTGAGTACCATCATTTACGTACCGCTAGTGGTAGGCGTACCAAAGTATGATAAACACTGAACTGAACAATTTAACCGTAGTAAAAAAACCATATTATTACTTATTAGGTACCTAATGGCTAATTTTAAACACTTTTAAAGTATTTTAAACAGAAATATTATTGAGTCGTTAATTTATTAATTTAATCAGAAGAACTAATTACTATAGTGTACTACTTAGTCTTCGCTCCCCTAATCATCACTGATTTCTGCCTATGAGTCGACGCTGAATAGTCGAATCCGATATAAATGGTTTTTGTTCGATTACACTTATGACACTATTATGCATTTTACACTTAACATTTAACTTGACCCAATCGGTCAACTGAATTTTAAAGAAAAAGTTTGGCCTTCTGTATGTCATAAGTTGCACATTCATATTCGTAGATAATCAATAATATGGTTGAGTGCCTAGTTGTTTAAGACCTAAAACTTTCTAAAAAGTGCAAAGTATGTGTCCGTACAAAAATCAAGTATAACATTCCAAATTTGTTAAAAAAAAAATAATTATTCATGATATCTATACAAAATATACTTTTTAATCAGTCATTAATATAAACATCAATTTTCATTTCACGTGTTCTAGTGAGTTTGACTTGTGACACAAACAATATTTACTTACCTATAGGTATAGCCTACTGTCATTTGTGAATCAAATATAAAAATAAATATATTTTTAAAAATGTTCTTTGATGTCTGAAATTTAAGAAAAATTACTATATATGTATAATGTAAGAACTAAAAAGGGTAGTTAAAAAAATATAAAAATAGTATAAATAGACATTTGGCCAAAATCGCCAAATGCAAGCTACCGACAATAAAATAGCTGAAAGTTTTTTTAGCTGACACGGTAAAATACCAATGACATGACCTAAGGTCAAAAATAAATATATCCCCAATATTACACTGCAATTAAACCTGTTAATAAAATATCATTATAGTTACCTTAATTTCGTTTCATTAACCGGTGTTAATGTACAATTTTAGACGACCGACTGTAAATGCATTTGTTGAGTCGATGTAGCAAAACAGGGCTTATAACATCGAGTGTTGTTAAAAATTACAAATATCGAATCAAACAATATATTTTTATTATTAAATACAATCTGAAAATTATGAAGTGTGTTTGAAACTTTTTGTGATCTCGTAAAATTACTTGAATACATTTTGCAAGTTGTAGCAAACTGAATTTTTGTCTCACCATGAATCATTGCAATGCCATTATTTAACAAACGTTCATAAGTCACACTTTTATAAAGTGTCACTTAAAAATGCATTTGGCAAAATGTGTCTCAGTTTAATACACTATTTTCATTTTTATAAATATATTATAAAACATGTTCTATTCATTTCTTGCGATTTAAAAAAATACATTATGTAAGATTTAGACACCTATACTTATCTCAATATAAAATCAATTTTTTTACGTCTGTCAATGTTGTTTTTCATCCTTTTAGTTTGTCAGCTATTTGACCTATTTATTTAAGTACTGGACATTAGTACCACACCCGCTAAAAATGTTAAAGTCATAAACATAGTAACTCTATTAATCAATATAGGCAGTGTTTAATTTCTGGTGCCCACAAGTATTATTTTATTGAATGCGTTTTATATGCATTTTATTGTAATAAGGTAAAGGATTAAGAAGATATGACTTTTTTATTCTTGGTTGGTAGAAATACTTAAAAGATACATCACCGATCTTCTACCAAAATAATTTAAAAAATACATCATAGATTTATTGTAGAAATAATATTATGTAACCTTATTTTGTCTAATTATATAATTGTATTAAGTATATAAGTAATAAGTATGTATAGAAATTATTGACGGTGACAATTAGTATAACTTAATATTATTTACAATAAATATGTAGTCATTAATATAATTATATTTCTATTATTGTCAAATCAACATACATACTGACAATGTAGATAATATTACCTACATCGTGTACATACTATAAAAACGTTTCTAATATTTTCAATGAATATTGTAATATTATCCTATAGGTACTCCATAAATAATAACTCATAACAAATAAATATTTCATGACATTGTATTTATTATTTTTGAAATTGCATTAAAAATAACCATAATATTTGGTATCGATAAACGAGAAAAGGACCACAGTTGATGGTGTATCTATATTATCTATCCAGAGCGCCGTGTTATCCTTATGTTTTGTTTAAAAATGTTTAAATATTAATATCATGGAGATAAGCACGTCGAAACACTGAATTATATTGTTGTTCCATAATCAAACCAAAAATATGAGGAAACCTAACACAAAACAAAAATACTACAACAAAAAATGGTAACAAATTTGATTATCACACTTCTTATACTCAAATTGGATTATAATTTATAATTTATTATATTAAAAAAATTACCTTTTCAACAAACACACATACAAGCATTTTCGAGAAAACGTACAGAATATAGGTTATCACTGATCAATTATAACTGTAGTATAGTGTACATACAATGTGAATTGTGATATCTTTTAAAGTTCAACAGGAAACATTCATTTTATTAAAAAGTGTCATATTATTATCCGACATTTTTGGAAATATTTTGTTTTACACAGTTTAAAGTAATTGCAAAATAGCATTATGGGAACAAAACAAATTTTCACAAACTAATTATTCGTTCTAATTTTAAGTAATGACTTTTTCAGAAAAAATATTGTGTTTTAGAAAAAGAAATTAAACATAATAATGTTTACTGTCATTCAAAAAAGTGAAAACTTTTTTTTAATAACGAAACAAAATTAAAAAAAGGTTTTGTCATGACAAATTATTTATTGAAAGTATCACTTGATTACTTTTCGATACGATGTGAATTAACTTTTAAAATAAATATGCATACGAACAGTTTTGATTTTTTTATAATAGTATTAACCTCTTAAAACATTATCCATGTATTATCATTGCATTTGTAACTAAAAATGTACTCTCTGCTCCTTAGGCGACGGAAATAAAATAAAATATTTAATTCGTTCATTAAAAGAAACACCTGACTGTAAATATATAAATAGGTTCCTAAAACTTCAAAATATCATTTATTGATATTGTACTTTTCTAAGAGAGATTCAATTGAAATGTGTACAACTAAACAATCTTGAAAATGAGAATATTTTTGAACCTTTGAAATACAAAGTACCGATCAACTAAACAAAATAATATGACCTTCACAACCACTAATATAATGTTGACCTAAATATAACGATACAAATATAACATTGTTTGTAGACATTTCGTTATGGCTGTACAAAATAAATACTTCTAAAATAAGAGACACGTATTTCAACGGATCATTATTTTCTGAGAGTTCCGAGTAGTGATCTAAATAATTTCCATTGTATCATTTACACGACCCACCAGTTTAACCATTAAAAGAAAAGTGTAAATAATATAATATAAAATGTAAGGACATATTTAAGGAATCATTTAAGTGGTAAGTAACTCTCATTATTTATAGTGATTTATTTATCTAGTTAATAATATTTGGAATATAACAATGTAATATCGACTGCATTTTCGATTTATAATTTAAAAAAAACCGTTGTATAATTATCACACAGATAGAGCTTGGTTGAGGAATTGTTTTATCGGACGAAAACTCCGGATAGAGAGGACAAAAGAATCTTTGGACGGATATTTTTGCTGCCGGGCACTGATCGACGAATTTTTCGGCGTCCGCGATCCGCTCGGAGATGACGTCCAGACGGCAATGCGAAAAACGTTAGTATAATATACACTATAGAATATTATTTTTTGACATCGTAAACAATAATTAATGATCTATTCTCAAATATATTATGATAACTCAGGGGAGAGTTTTATTTTCTTCTAAGAAAGAGGGGAGGGGGGGGCAATGGGATGTTTGAAAAAAACTTACGAATCGTTTGTCATCGATCTTAATAATATGGTTATTTCGTGTCATGCGTGCGTACCGCAATATAGATGGTTCGGGTTTTCGAGCAATTTGACGAACGAGGGTTACCGGGTCATAGTGACGAAAAACCTCACCGATGAAGACGTTCCTGGCAGGTATTTGGATCAGTGGACGAAATACTTTTACATGTGCATTGACTGGAATTTGAAGCGGGAGTCGGTAAATGGCGTGATCATCATTTACGACATGGCCACGACGAACAAAAACGAAGTACTCACTCAAGTGACTCCGAATTTTCTCAGGAAATCTTTACAGTGTTCGGTAAGAATCGTTTAAAGAATTTAAATAGTATTTAAGTACAGGTATCACTGTATCAGGTATGGCCGATGCGAGGATATCCTAGTTTATATTTCCATGGCTCGTTAAAAATAACGTAGAAGTTTGCAAATCATTATGCAAACAATTCAACAAATTTTAATTTCGTATTCTTTAAAAACACAACTATAATAAACTTCAAAATACCTGTTCAATAAATATCACAATATATTTCGATTGTTCTATGACAGCCGATGAAGAGTGAAATAAAATGTATATAGATAATCAAAATTTATCACCAACGTTGTGAATGAACGAAAGTATCGGAATTCGGCCACCCTTGGTTTATTCTTCGATAGTCGATACTACATATTATACTCATTGACTGCGTACAATTAACTGTATTACCATACAAGTTATTAATGCGCGTACCTTTGCAGGTACAATACAGCGGAGCCTCTATATAACGCACTTGACGGACCCAGAATTCGTTTTTATTGTATGACATTTTTGTAAATAATAATAATAAATAGATAGATATGTTTATTATTAGTATTATGATAACAGTCTACAAATGAAAATTGATGGTTCCCTAAAAAAAATGTAGAGTTTATCGTTGGATAGAAGTGATATCATGAAATAGAGGTTCCGCTGTAAACGCTAATAAGTGCGGTAAATTGTTGCAATATTCGTCAGTCGTATTGTTTCTATAATTATTAATTACACAGACACGTATCGTTAACGAATTATATTTTCTTTTCAGACGTTTTTCCCGTACAAACTGATACAGGTACACTTCATAAACGTACCATCGTATGCAGCCGTAGTGTTCAATATTTTAAAATCTCTGGTTCCCAAAAAAATTCAATCTCGTGTAAGTATTTTCAGTGAATTATTTCAGCTATTTGTGTCAACTTTATTGCCACAGTAAAACAGTATACTTATATAATGTAAAAACGCATAAATATTTACTTTGAAATTCTGTAGGTACTCCAGGTTAGATATTATAAGTACCTACCTACATTTCAAATGAATAATGGTCTTAAACTTTCTAGAACTCGGCAGCGTGTTTGTTTTCAATGTTTTTATGTACATTATGCCGTTAAGTGACAATAATATTATAACTCAAAGTTATTCATATGTAATATAATAAATTGTAACTACCTCTCCAGTAAGCGTTTAACGGTAGTCGGAGCGACAGAGCCCGAATGACGATGATGAAGAGTTAAGTAAAGTTGAGAAATTTTAGAAGAAATGTTCAAAATCTCACAATTTAATAACAATTTTGAAAGAAAAGTAACTCCTCTAATATTAATTATTTTATACAATATATTAATATGACTTATACAGTTATACCTATGAGTTAAGATTGCGTATACTTAAGTGATCATTAATAATTTGAATAGTTAAATAAATCATATAGTTTCATTTTTCCCATGGACAGTAGAATATTAAGTTTTAATATGATTGGAACCTACCACGCGAATGTTATTGTTCGTGTTAAACACAATTATGTGGTCTGAAATTTCTACAAAAAAGTAATCATTTATGCGATTTGAAATTCATTTACGATAATAATATATTATATTGTTACATCCAAAGACGATTCATGTTTGATTTTAGCTATTTATGCACAATAACCCATCGGACGTACTGCAACATATCCAAAAAGAATGCGTTCCGTCAGATATAGGTGGTAGCGATAAAACTATCAGAGAACTGGGTGGTGAGTACATTATATTTAATTTTTATAATGCAATTTAATATTATAAAATATTATTGGTAACGGTGTAGTGAAAACCACCTTAAGTTCACTGGTGCTGAAAGCGATCTACCTGTTTTTTTAACAATTATTTTGTGGATTACAAAAAACAACAAATATTTTATAAAATTGTATTAACTAAATTAACACTATTGAATATCAATTTATCAAAAACAGTTGTTACATTAAAAAGACTTTTAAGGAAAAAATGTTCCAACAAAAAAATAATAACAACACAGAACTTATAAAAGGTTACTTTGACGTCCGAAAATCTTCGAATATGGAGTAAAATTGTATGGATGCATATCCACCATTTTGTATGAAACTGCCTGTCAAGCAAAGTGGAAACGCTATTGAATCATATATCACATTTTTATTTTAAAATACACTATTAACACTCAAAGTCTTGAATGAGCTCCGGTTTGTGGGTCAGTAAAGTGTTCACTGTAATTAACAGTTTTATAGGTAAATCAAAGTTACTTAAAGATGTGAGTAGGTAAACTTTCCAATCATCATTACTGTGGGCGGCGGTAAATAGATCTCTCATAATCATGGGCAAAATGGTTCACTTTTTTTTGTCAATCTTAAGCACGATAAACTTTAATCGTATGTCCTAATTAGCGCTTGGCAGGATATCGTCAAAAAAAAAGTCGCTGATAACAACAACAGAAATTAGTATGGTAGGTCGCTCTCGACACCGCGGTACTGAATTTTTTACAATTTTTATTGAAACCTAGTCCGACATTAAATATTTTAATCGATATGGTTTGAATGATTTATCCTCAGAATTCTGCAAGGAGAACATCATAGCGGAAAGAGATATGTTCATGAACGGAATACTTTCGTTGAAAGCGGACATGGACAAAAAGCCAAAAGACGCGAACAGCAATGAACAATCGGAGCTCTTCGGGTTCGACGGAAACTTCAAGCAATTGAATATCGATTGAAAAATATATTTTCTCACAGAAATTTTTTTCGATTTATCATAATTATATTATACCGGTGGACACTGATTAAAAAATGCATACAAAATACAATTACAATTCTAAATATTACGATAACAACTATAGTTAGTGTGTTTACCAAATACAATTAATATTGATCACGATTATATTATAATGTACCTAATACATACTTGATATACTTCTATGATAATGTGAGTATTATGTTTCTTTCACAGTCTACATTTAATTTGTGTACTCTTCTTCAGATGTTGTCATGATTATTTTCATTATTATTATTAAAAAAACAAACAAACGTACATTATTGATTTAAATAATATGCACCCAACGCAATTCCTTAACACTACAATTTATGAAGGCGCAAAATAAAATAATTGCATTGTTTCTCATGAACAAATATTTCAAACAATTTACACTTAAGTTAACTATAGGTAGGCTTTTTTGATTACATATTAAAATATTATAATTTTTTTCATCATAAACAAATATTTGTTACAAAAAGAGTATACGTCAATAGTAAAAAAAGATGAAATTGCTATAGCATGAAAAAATATTTCTGATCACATATTATACCTGTGTATATAGTTGCGATGACCGAGATAATTGGATAAGGAAAACTTATTCATGGCAGAATCATTTAACGCAGTGCCCGTTGGCCGTTAGAGTGAAAATAATAATTATTTTATTCAATTTGCACCATGCTTATATATGTCTACCATATTATATTTTTAAAAAAAGGTATTAAAGCGGCAGTTTGTATAAACAAATTATACGCAGAAAACTCATAGATGGATACTTTTGAAAAATTTTAAATTATCATTACCTGATTACATTGTATGATTTAGTAATTTATAAAACTAAAAAATAATAGAAAATTTGATTTATTTTGCTATTCTAAAAACGCTTATCATGATATTTATAAAGTTTTCGTAATTATTTAGCGACAGTTCCTTCGGTAACGTGGTATTCGGAATCGGTTCATAAAAAATGCGGTGATTGACGGGGTAAAAAACAATCTTCTTTATCTTCGATTGTCACGGCAAATTTTGATCATTTTGTCGAGGCAAAAAGTAAATATCAATTAATTTCTCATTAAATCAGTATAAGTACTAAAGCGTTAGACGTGTGCGATGAAGATAAATGTATAAAACAATACTTGAACGAGTGACGAAAAGCACATCCATCCGCCGCGCCCTTCGGCGGTGAGCACTGAGCATGCCAATTTGCCCTTATTGTACTTGTCTTCAGGGTACTACACAATGTCACGAGCGTTCAATTTAAAAAAAAATAAATCTTAATGTAAAAATCGAAAAATATTACTATACATTTATAAGAGGCTGATAAAACGACTTCACAGAATGGAATTTGGTTTGAGATTAAACCGTTTTAGTAGGTAGGTACAGTACAATTTCGGAAATGTTTTAACTTTTGACAGACGATACGTCGTACTAAATGCATGTTGTATTCAGGTATTATAATATATTACGCACATTTAACTACCAAATAAAAACTTAAGTCAGCGGTTTTATACCGTATCATCACCATAATAAAAATAATTATTTTCGACAAAAGTAATAAACATAATAATAAATACGATTATAATAATTTTTATAAGTTATGGTAATTTTAACATTGAGGGCTTTTTTTGAAATTAAATTTTAGGTCTATTAAGATAATATTGGTAAATTAGGTAGTAGGATGATAAAAACAAAGTAATAACTTACTAAATTAATATAAACAATTGTTTCCGTGATATGACGGTGTAAAAAGCAACAACCGAGACAAAAGTTGGAAAAAAAAATTAAAATCCAGAGCCATGTAATATGACATAGGGCTATTTAAATTGATTATAATGTCAAAGACAAGACATTTAAAAGTTAGTTATTACTTAATGTATTAATTTTTGTAAAGGAAGACCACCCAAGAGACAAATTTGCTGGGTAAGTTTATTAATTTCTTTTTTACATATAAGTATAAAAAAAAATTTAACGAGTTCATATAAAGGTAGTTTGAAATAAAGTCATTCACATTTTAAGTATAAGAACTTAAAAGTTTTAGTATTAATTTTCCAAAATCATTATTAAAATATTAATTATAAACATGTTATAGGCGCAGACTAGAAATGTTGAAATACTTTGTATAGTTATTTATGAAATCGATTAAACAACTATAGTTACGGGCCTACATTAATAATTTGTCAAAGTTTGTAGTGATATTGAACAAAAAGAAAAACATTTTTTAACTTGAAGCAATAAAAATAATAAATTAGTATTAATAAAGGATAATTTTATATGATTCAACAATTAATAATATAGAGCTGATCTTAACTCTTAACAATAATTTAGGGTCTTCTAAATAATTCAGTACAATACAAATTATGGGAATTACATTGTTAGTTCTTATAATATGACTTTCACAGTTTTTGTCTCACAAGATTTGGAAGACCATGTATTTTTTATTTTAATTTTCTAAATCAGATAATCAGAAATGACTAATTTTCAAAAATGGCGTTGAACAAAAAATCTCAAGATCAAAAGCTACAGTTAAAAGAACAAACATATAATTTTTTTCAAATGGTGACAGAGAACGTTTTAGAATCCTGACATGTGGGACTTGCAGTGGATGGACATCAATGGTCTCGTGCAGGTATTGTGACGTCAGCAAGGTGAGTATCATAGTTAGTATTTGGCCTCGGAAGTGGTGAATTGGTGATCATTCCGCTGCAGCCTGCAGGTGTGTATCGACAACCTGTTCTATGTTTTAAGTTGTTGTGCAAAAGATTTGATGAGGAAGCGGTTGGGTTTTTGTCTCTGCTTAATTATAACTTTTGGGTACAATATCAAATGTACACAATATATACCTATCATCTTATATTGTCACCATTGTCTAAAAACACGTTTCCAAACGTTTTTTTTTTCAATTCATGTATACCTGTAAAATAAAATAAATCGAAAATGAAATGGTTTGAAAAAAACACTTCAATTGAATATAGGATTAATATGTTACATTATCATCGGAACCATACATAATTTATACATAATTTAACTCCAAATGCCAGCATATGTTAGGATATATATGTATTATCTATTTATTATTTGTTAGTTTTTTGACGATATCAGATCGATAGATTTGCAATTGCTTTTTAATTTGGTGTAGTAAAAATATTCGTAAACAGTAAATTTTTCACACACATAATCAGGATGATAACTAGGTAATAAAATTAAATGAGAAACCATTAACTCAAAAATAAATATACCATTTTGTTTATAGATTGGAAGGTATTATCAAATAATAGAGTACACAATTAAAAACGTATTTAAAAATAAGATTATGAAAAAGAAGCTGTATAAAAAAAATTGTTTGAAAAAATGTATGTAAAACATACATTTTATATTTATATTTTATATTTTATATATTGGTACTTTAAATCCATAATTTTTCCCGCATATACAATAAAAACATTAGAAAAAACAATAGTTATAAATACGACATAATATATGCATTCATGTGCATTAACGTCTGTGCAATGTAAAATTTTGAATTAAAAATGGTAATGTCTTGAATTAAAATTGTATTTCACAGAATATATTGAATTTAGATTGATATGCGTAATATTTAATGTGTGTGTGTGTGTGTGTGTGTGAGCGTCAGAAGACGATATCCTGCACTGCCAATAGGGACATCGGATTTTTGGACATCTAGTTATATTATTATGTCAGTTATCCGGATTATCCGAATCATCCAGTTTAGAGTTTATTCGATACGATATAATTTACAACGGTCTGCAGACTCTCTTGACTCTAGAGTAAGTCCCAAAAGGAAAAGGTGCTGTAAATTATTGCAGAGAAATTGCACAGATGAAAGTGTTTCTCCTGATGATTGACTTCTTTGTCTAGACTATATATTACATGTGTAAATTAACAAGAACTAAAATATTATGTTTATGGTACAACAAAATTTACTAATGTAATTAAATATTAAAATTTGAAAGAAAAAAAGAAAATATACTCATATTTCCATAATAATACATAATCGTACCTTTTATACTACATTTTTTTTTAATTTAAAACCACCGATTTTATCGGATCACTAAATTACCTAGTTAAATGAAATATTACGATAATTCTGAACTGAGTACGATTTCCCTGTACTGATCAAAATATTTAACACTATAATATGTAACCTTAATAATATTACGTTGCTCAGAGTCATTGCAAAGTTGAAAACGGTAATGGAAAAAGCCAGGTGACCTATAATTTAATAAAGGGTAGAATTTCGCGAGCTGCAATCTCTTATACTAATAACAATATCGAAACCTTACCTCAAGTCGAGATGGAGTTAATGTTATTACATTTGATTTTACATTTTATTCTCAAGTTATTTAGCTTTCCAAACCTATATATTCTATAGAAAGGTCCACCTTATAGTATGTCTGCGTGTCTAAAATACAAAATAATAAAATAATTTACTCCGCAAAGTGTGTGGTATTTTAAGGTTTCTATACTATATATATATATATATATATATATATATATGAGACCAATAATAATTAATAAGTATCGCTACTCTAAAATTACTGTCGTTTGATTTTGCCTCATATATAGTAGTTCCAAAAAGGCGAGACAAGTTTATAACAATGTCGAGCTAGTATTATTTTAGCCGTTCAATTATCGTAGGCAAATTAAATTAAATCTCATCTTACGTAATCATACACCTAATGGCTATAATTACTTTCGGCTCAGTAAATTCGAATACCATATTATAATATACGACTTCAAGACACCACCCTATTTTTACACCCTGTACAATCATACATACACACACTTGCACACACGTCATAATAATGTATGCGCAGTGTGTGCCTCTACTTATATTATATATATGTACACGTCGATGTGGTTTAAACGTTCAATACCTCATCGAACCCATTACACTCATCTGGATTCTGCTGTTTGGCGTGCGCGATAGGGACGACACTCGAATATATACATAATACTACCTTTATTATATTGTCAGGTAATTTATACGGTTTTAGAATTCCAATTTTCTTATGGCGCGTGCGCAGTACGGTCTTTTGTTTTTTTTCGTCGTCGCCGGTGAGCAAGTTTCACGAGTGCGTATCGGAGAAATAAATTTGAGGAAAATAACGATCAGGATTCTGTAACGAAAAAGGCGTTAGAAAATACCTACCTTAAAAACTACTCCACAATAATAGGCATTTAAAAGTAAATAACACGACAAACCACGCATGTCACATACTTTCATGTACGGATTTAGAGCCCGAGGAGAT